TGTTATACCATTTTCAGCAGCTGAAAGCTGGGTTAGGCTGTCCTTGGAGATTTTCTATGTGTAGTATAGAGTACAGAGTTTTTTTAAAGGCCATCTCATATCCCTTTAAGGCAATATTCCTACATTTTCTTAAACCAAAACAGATATTTGGGGACTATCTAGATCAGCAATTCAAAAATTTTTTCCATAAAGGGCAAGGAGGTAAATAATTTCGGCTTTGTGGGCCACACAGTGCCTGTCACAACTGGTACTCAGCTTTGCTATCAGAGCAGGAAAGTAGCTATAGACATTACACAGATGAAAGGCATGTCTGTGTCCCTATTTTAAAAAATGGGTGAAGGGCCAAATTTACCAGGCATTGTCCTGTGTTCCGCTAAATAGGTGTACCTGTGGGCCATAGTTTGCTGACTCCTGATTCGAACTCTAGAGTGTAAATACCTTCCCTTCACTGAGTTAGAAAAACAAGTAGTCATCATCTTAACACCACATTTGTTATTATGATCATCACAACTATCACTCCCATTTTATAGTTAAAAAAAGATAAATTTGCATAATTGGTAAGTGGGCTGGACTTCAGAACAAATCCAATGATTTGTTCTGGAAAGTCCAGTTTTCTTTCCAACAAAGCACAGTGCAACATCAAAAAGAAGGCATTCTAAGAGTGGTTCAATACTGTACCAAAAAGAGCAACACTTCATTTAAAGGAATAAAATTAAAGGAGTGCAAATTAAATGTGTACAACAGTAACAGGAGTTCATTGGTTAAAAAAAAGAAATACATCTGTCAATAGATACTCCGACATGTCTGCCATGAACCACATTTATTTATCCCTTATCTAAGCTCCTTTTATTGTCTCTACATTATTGGACTTGGCAATTTTGTTTTAATTCATAGATAAAAGCATCAGAGTAATAGACATAGGGCATCAGTGACACAAAGGGCTAGCTTTTCAGAACACCTATTTCCCCCGTTTAGAAGTGGATATTATATGTGAATACACTTGAGCACACACCAGATAAAGATAATTCAGAGCACGTGTTAGAAGCGGGTAAACTCTTTAGAATCGTTTCAGTGATGTTATTTTCCTGTCTGAGCACATATATTTGAGTGTATTCATTGGTTAAAAAAAGTTTAAAAATTCAAGAGAATATTTTTATCTGATTGGTTTTTATATACATTGTTTTCAATAAAATACAGTTTGTATCTTAAGACAAGGTATATACGTACTAAAATAGAAAAAAAATTTTCTTGTTCCAAACATTTTTATTAGTTACTATTCTCAGAGTTTTTCATTAGTTACTGCTAATTATTCTAGTAACACTTGAATTTAGCAACAAAAATAATAATTTTTAAATTATTCTATTCAAAATGAGTGGATTGGCAAAAAGCAAACATACTTCTAGAATTTTTAAGCTACTCTAAATTTATTAGTATTCAAATACAAATAGTATTTTCAAATAACAAAGATATTGTTTATATCATTCCCTTTTCTTTGGGAAAATAATCCAAATACCCAAAATATTTGGGTAGATAATCCTGTTTCACCATAACCTGACTTCTTATTCTCAGGCATGTAGAAGTCTCTACTTCTTAGCCACCTGGTAGTCAGTCAAGGCCATGTGATTGGTTCTAGCCAATGACATGTGAGCAGAAGTAAGATACAGCACTTCTGGGTTAAGGCAGTGAAATCCCTTATGTGGCCCTCCAGTCTCTCCCTTGTCCAGTTTTGGCAAACATGGAAGACGTTGTGTTGAGATGGCAGAGTCACACACTGAAGCCACATGAATTACTGAATTACCAAATACAAGAAAACTTCTCTGGAGTCTCCTGGACCCTCACCTAGGGCCAGCATCATGGGCATGTAACCTATGTGATCACCCAGGACTCAGCACTCGGATGGGCTCTGTGCTTGGCTTGATGCTCTGCTGTCACTGTCTTGTCAATTTTTAGAAAAGGGGCCCAATATTTTCATTTAGCCACCAGGTTTCACAAATCTGTACACAATGCCCCCCAGAGCACAGACTTCGTAGGAGTTTTGTGTGAATGTGTTAACCACTGAAATTTTGAAGCTGTTTGCTTCTGTAACGTATACCTATCTTATCCTATCCTAATACAATCCTGAAACCTTTCTAGATTCAGCAAGTGTATCCCTACTCCAAGATGCTTCCCTGAATACCCCTCCTTCCTCTTGAGATGGGTGCCTTCACTAGGTGTTCCCATAGAACTATTATCTACTACAGCATAACACACAATTTATTCTAGCTATTTGCTAACCTGTCTCCCTAAGGGGGACACTATGGGATCACTCCCTCCATATGCATTCCAACCCATATGATGTAACTTCCTATGTAACAAAAACTGGAAAGTCAACGATTATACTCCCCAGAATTTTTTGCAGTTAAGAAAGCAGATGTGTCCTGTGTTTTGCTAAGTAGGTATACCTGTAAGAGGTTTGAGATGGGGGAAAAAAAAGGCAACACAAGGTCACAGACTCACTTTAGGACATAGTTTTTCTTGCAAGTGTGGTGTTAAAGGAATTCTTCTTTTGTGGCAGCTCTGGCAGAGGGTTTGGCCCAAAACTGTAAAGCAGCAGCAGTGGGACTTTCCCTTGGAGAAGTGGTCTGGCGTTTCTCTTGGCTGCTCTTGTATCTTGCTATTGGCATTTAAACCTGCTTTCCAGGCCAGGTGCAGTGGCTCACACCTGTGATTCCAAGGCTGAGGTGGAAGGATCACCTGACCTCAGGACCTACAAGCAGTGAGCTATGACTGCACCACTGAACTCTAGCCTAAGGGACAGAGAGAGACCCCTGTCTCTTAAAACAAAAACAAAATAAACCAAAATACTGATTTCCTGGGCCTTCCAAAGACATTGCTAACTACCCAATGCCCTTTAAATGAGGTTTTTTTTTCTTTTTTGGCTCAAAATGGACTCTGTTGTCTGCAAAAATGACGAAAACCTATGTTCTCTTCTCCCCCCACCCCCACTAAAGTGAAAGGTCTTCGATGGCAGGGACTGAATCTTATTTTCAAAATCATCTTTTCCTCCCACTACCCAGCTACCTAAGAGAAGCTTACTGTTTTGGTACATAATAATGGCTCAATAGATATTTTAAGAAGAAAAGTGGGCAGGAAGGCAGGCAGGCTGGAAGGAAAAAAAGAAAGGCATGATGATTAATCTTATGTGTCAACTTGACTGGGCTAATGGATGCCAACATAGCAGGTAAGCGTTATTTCTGGAAGTGTCTGTGAGGGTGTTTCTGTAAGAGATTAGCATTTGAATAGGTAGCCTGAGTAAGGGAGGTTACTCTCCCCAGTTTGAACAGGCATCATTGAGGGTCTGAATAGAACAAAAAAATTCCCTCCGAATGTAAATTAGTTCAACCATTGTGGAAGACAGTATGGTGATTCCTCAAGGATCTAGTACCAGAAGTACCAGTTCACCCAGAGAAATATGTCATTCTACTATGAAGACACATGTACATTATATTTATTGCAGCACTATTTACAATGGCAAAGTCATCAAACCAATCTAAATGCCCATCAATGACAGACTGAATAAAGAAAATGTGGTACATACACACCACAGAATGCTACGCAGCCATAAAAGGGAATGAGATCACGTGCTTTGCAGGGACACGGATGAAATCGGAAGCTATCATCCTCAGCAAACTAACACTGGAACAGAAAACCGAACAGCTCATGTTGTCACTGATAAGTGGGAGCTGAATAATAAAGACACATGGACACAGGGTTGGGAACATCACACACCAGGATCTGTTGGGGGATGGGAGGTGAGGGGAGGGAAGAGGACAGGTCAACAGGTCAATAGGTGGAGCAAACCACCATGGCAAACATATACCTATGTAACAAACCTTCATGTTCTGCACGTGTATCCTGGAATATAAAGTAAAATTTAAAAATAACAATTATCTGCTTGCACAGATAATTTCTTTCTCCTTCTTCTCCTTGCCTTCAGACACCAATATTCCTGGTTCTCAGATCTTCAGACACGGACTGGGATCTACATTACTGGCTCCCCCGGTTCTCAGGCCTTAGAGTTTGGATTGAAACTATACCCCTAACTTTCCTGGGCCTCTACTTTTAGACGGTAGATTATAGGATTTCTCAGCCTCCCTAATTGCATAAGCCAGTCTCTCGTGATAAATCTCTTTCTATATATCTCTAAGTAAACTCTATTGGTTCTGCTTCTCTGGAGAAAACTAATACAGAAAGGAATCATTCTTTCAATTCGTAGAATTGGAAGACAAACCTGTTAATATATGCACCTCATATTTTAAATAAATTAGAAATGTCATACATTACTCAAATACATAGGACTTCAGTGTTGCAGCTACAAAAAACTGAATACCCTAAAAGACCTAGTGGATCTTTCCATGTGCTACAGTATAAAGGTAAACATGTATATTTGCTGCATTTCAGTGTCTATAAACAATCTATTTTAAGATGTCCATTGCTGTCAATATACTCCCCAGATAATAAAATGCTTTAAAAAATATAAATTATACAAATGTAACAACTCCTATGCTTTTCCATAATTTGCAAGCCAGATTTTCATCAGGCACAGATGTACTACATTACACACAGTGCAGTAAGCTGCAGTTCTAGTTAGGGAAGGAAAATTTGTCAAATTGATCCCAGGTTAAACCTATCTCTTCACCCAGGGATCCTCAGAATTTTTCCCACTGTCCTCATGGTAGCCTCTTGGGTGGTAGCAATGCCTTGAGCCATCCTAAACTTAAAAAGAAAAAAATTAAGTCAACAAATTCAGCAAATGAGTTTTAAAAATTGGTGTTGCTCGGGCAAAGGCACTCTGCTTCTCCATATGTTCTTTTCAGTGTGGAATGTAGTACTACTTTATATAGCACCAACTTCTTATTTGTAATTGTACAGTCACTGGAAACTAGGTCAAGACACACTGCAGCTTTCCTGTTTCCAAATACCAGATGCCATGTATGGCATGCATGAAAGTTGAGACTTACCGGGGTTGAAGTACAGGAAACGAGAGAAAAACAACAAGCAGAGGATAAAAAGAAAAGCAGTACATTCCTTCTATGCCCCTTCATAAATCTTCATCTTCTTTCCAACAAGATCTAGGAAAACCACAGTTTCAGTCTGGGACAGGGATGCTCATTACCAAAGTTCAAAACCTATGAAAAATTACAGTGAAAAAATCATTCACAACTGATTTATGGTTAAATTGAAAGAAGTGGAAGTGTTGGACCAATCACCTGCTTTTCAAACCTCTTTCAATCTCAAACCCACTCTAAAAGCTTGGCTCCAATCTGCTTCTATAATTAGAGTACCAAAACAAGAGGCATTAATACCTCCAACAGATCATTAATCATTCCAGCTACTTCATGATGGAGGCCACAGCCATGGACTGGAGGCAGGGTAGAGCAAATACAATAGTCATTGATCTCTATTTGTAGACTAGAGTAGGACAATGTGTTTGCTGGTGTCTGTCACCCTGGAATTGCAACATAGACCATCAATAACAAACTCATTCCACTTTAACGGCCTGAAACAGTGATAAAAACTATGAGTGTTTCCCAGTACTAAGCAAAGTAAGATCCACTTTAGGCGCCTACACTTGGCTACTACTTAGTCCTTACTGGCGAAAACAGCAACTATTCGTTGTCTCCTATGACTCCAATATCGAGGCCAAAAGTCATATGTATGTACTGAATTACTCCACAACCTGCCTACTGGATTCTCTTCAATCCTGCATGAATCAACATCTTCTGAAGAGCAGTAAAACTTCATTAATACGAAGTCTTTGGGGGTAAACTTTTGAAACAATGGGAAAAAACAGTAATTACAGATTCATTTTCCTTAAATAAGTGAGGTTGCATTTTCTTTATGGTCTGTTGGAAATATCCCAAGATTAGGAACCAACAGATGTGGAATCAACCCAACCCCAGGTCACCTAATTTGAACAGAAAAGCAAACCTCTGAGTCGCCGATTTCCCTTACCTCTTCATTGCTGATCATAATACTTGTTCATCCTTCTTTATAGGATGGTTTCAAAGATGATAGGATTGAAAACTTGGGTCTTTAGCTAAGTTGAGAGCACAATTGAAAGGTGAACTTCTACTAAGGCAAGAGAAATCACCACATTGGAGTATTTTAAAGATCTGGATTAATGAACATATAAAAATGACTTCTTTTAGTATATTACTAGCTTATATAAAAATGGATGCTGAGATATCACTTGAAAATTATAATAATCATTTCCAATTTGACACGTTTGACTGATGTATATGTACTCGCTATATACATAGTAGCAGCACTTCCCTTTGCTCAAATAGCCCACTGTTATCCCCATGCCAAGGTGACCACTTGCATTTTCCATAAATAAATCCTGCACAAGAAACATATGTTCTCCTGAATATACTAACCATATGAACCCCCAAATTCTTGTCCCACTCTCCACGTATTAGAACAGACTGGGTGAAAGATTCTTTTTTTAATCTTTTGTTATCGACCTTGTGATTAGTAAGGGTGGAACAGAGCAACTCATATAAACTCTGTGTCTGGTTCTGACATTCCAGGAGCCTACATGGTACTAATACTGTCGCTAACCTAAAAACGTTCTAGAACACCTTTAAATATTTTCTAAATACCCTACAGCAATGCTGTCCAGTAAAACTTTCTGCAGTGAAGGAAATGTTCTTTAATCTGAGCTATCCAATATGGTAGCAACTAGCCACGTGTGACTGCTGAGTACCTGAATAAGGTGTAAAGAAGGAGCTTAAGTTTTTCAATTAAAAAAATGGAATATTATTATTCAATAATAATAATAATTTAAACAGTCAAAGTAATTTAAATTTCAGTACATGGCTAATGGCCATTGTATTAGTACTGTAGCTTAGTCTTTTCCCAGCCCAATTCTACTTTTGTCATTTTCTTTATAAGACCTTAAAAGTTACTTGCTCTGTAGGAGCAACGTCGTGGTAATAGTAAGCATTGTGCACGGTTTTGTGAGAATGAAAGATAATTCATTAACTGCCCAGAGCAGGCATTCAGGCAATTATTATCCTACATTCTCTCCTTACCTAATCCTTATATCACCTTTGAACATCACTTTCTCCAGAAATCCTTAGCTGGTCTTAAAATTTGGCCTAAAGCCCCTTCTTAATATATTGTAATGCACTTTTATTTCCCTCATTTAATGATCTGCATTTTCTCACTAAAACTTGGGCTTCCTATTTATCTTGATATTTCAAGCATTAACGCCCAGAATGAAGCAACTCAAAAAATTCTTTGAAGCCATTTTTAGAAACGTCCAATGTATCTCAATATTCTACACATTGTAGGTTCTTCCTTCACTGATTGTAGTTATGGTATGTAAGAAATAACTAGTCTAGGAAGCATTACCCATATTCTTGTCACAGAGGAACGAAATCTGCGTACTTGTGAAAGTCAAGTGACTCAATAAAAACATTCATGGTAGAATCACCCCAAGTGGATCTGTTAGGCTTAAGATGGAAAGGAGGAGCTAAGTAAGTCTAAGAACACTAAACTCGATTCTCCTATCACTTTTCAAAGAGCAGCAGGCACTGAAATCTTCAAACCTTCACTGATCAAATCCAGAAGACACCAGATCCCCATATCCAATCACTTTGGTACCTGGATGAACTATAGTGTTGACAGTGGCAACACAGTGACTGTGCTGGGAGTCCTGTTATGCCCATTAAAATCCACACAGACTAAGCATCCATTGAGTACATGGTACTCTTCTAGTTCAGACAAAATACAAGCCACAAGGCTAAACGTTTCTGTGGCTACGTGCCAGTTATAACCATAGAGGCTGAATCAGATTTCTATTCTTTTCTTTTTATTCAGAAAGACATTTGAATTTGGAAGACAGCAAAAACTTTGCCCAGTGTTTAAAGAAACAACGGCCATTCCAAAATGCCCTCGTATAGAACTACACACATGATTTCATAGAATAGAGTAACTGTTATTATTATTTCATCTTCATGAGGCTCAGTTTCCACATCTGCAAAATGGCAGTAATAGTATGCACTACACCAGTTTGTAGTAAGGATTGAAGATAATGTATTAAGTGTCTGAAAGAGCTACTAAGGCTATTTTTATTCCTCATTCTATACCTATCTAATTCTCACATCGCTTCTTCCACAAATCCTAGCCTTGTCTCAAAATTTGGGAAAGGACCCTTTCTATGAGGACCCAAAGCATGTGCATTTTCTCTATTTAAATATCTTTTCCTTTCCATTAGACCTTTGCCACAATGTTTATTATTGTATCTCTAGAATCAATGCTAAGAACACAAAAGGAAATCACCATTTATTGAAAGAATGAATCAATGAGTGAATCAATGAAGGAATGAATGCTTATGCACTAACCACCAACAGAACACATGTGGGAATAATTTGCTTCTACTGGTTAAGGTCCATACACTTCTCCCTTTTTGAGTAGTAATTATCTGGTGTGGTAGGCAGAATAATGGGTCCCCAAAGCTGTGCACATCATACTCCCCAGAACCTGTAAGTATGTTAGGCTACATGACAGATGGAATTAAGGTTGTTAAAACAGAAGGATTAACTTGGATCATCCAGATGAACCCAATATAACATTCCTTAAAAAGGGGAAAGGAAGGAAAAAGAGTTGAGCCAAAGGTCATAGTGATGAGATACAAGTAGAGTTTGACCTGCTGTTACTGACTGCAAAGGAAGGGGGCCAAGAACCAACGACCACGGGCAGCCTCTTTAGAGTCTAGGAAAGGTAAATAAACACATTATCTTCTAGAGCAAGGGTGTCCAATCTTTTGGCTTCCCGGGGCCGCATTGGAAGAAGAAGAACTGTCTTGGACCACACACAAAATACACTAATACTAATGATAGCTAATGAGCTAAGAAAAAAAAATACAACGATATTTTTAGATAGTTTACAAATTTGTGTTGGGTCACACTCAGAGCTGTCCTGGGGTGCATGCAGCCTGCGGATTGGACAAGCTTGCCCTAGAGCCTCCTGAAAAGAATGCAGCCTTGTGAGCACCTTGACTATAGCTCCGATGAGACCTGTGTCAGACGCATAACCTACAACACTGTGAGATAATAAATTTGTGTTATTTTAGGCTACTAAATTTGTGGTAATTTGTTTCAGTATCAACAGAAAATGATACACTTGGGTAGTTTCAAAAGTATATTAATGCTTGGTACCCCTCACAGAGATTCAGATTCAGTTAATCTGGGGTATTGCCAAAGCATCAGGATTTTTAAAACTGCTGCAGGTAAGTCCACTGTGAAGCAAAGCTTAAGAATCATTCAATCATTTAACTATATTTGGATATTTAATATCACTCAAACACAGACATACAAATCTGCCTAGAAAAAAAAAATTTCAACCAAGTACCATGCTTAGGTTTAGAGAAAAAGTGGGTCAAGCAAACTTAATATTTTCCTCTTTAATAGGAATGTGTGATGAAATGTGATCTTGAGCAGTATTTTACTCAGCCATTACAACAACTCTTAAAGTCAGTAGGGAAGATACCATAATCCACTTAATACAGGAAAAAAAGATGTGGTTAGGTGCTGAGAAAACCAGTGGATTCCCCAAATCTTGCAGTCAATGAGTGAAGGAGGCCATACTGAGACCACTTGGTGGCCAGAATCTTAAAAATGGGAGTGCCCGGGACTCTGGGAATGAGGAACTGTCCCCATGGAACCTACTCTTGGTTGAGCAACCAAACTAGAAAACAAATATTGTGAATCTAAGTCATTAAAACTGTTTTCACATTCTTGACTTTGCAATTGGGTCTCTCTTGCCATTGGTTCAACTTACTGATGTATTTCAGAATCAGTGCAAGAGTAACCTAGTCTAATCACCTGGCTTATGTGTTAGCCAATGACAGGCCACAGGTCAAATCTGACCCTCCTCTCTTTCTGAAGATCAAGTTTCATTAGAATTCCACATGCTTGATTTACATATTGTCTATAGCTGCTTCCATGCTACTAATGTAGAGTTGAGTAGTTGTGACATGGCCTACAGCGCTGAAAACATTCATATGGTGTAGCCCTTTACAGGAAGTTAGATGACCCTTGACACACATCAAGGATGGAACCTC